TTAATAGATTTTTCTAATGTGAATTGAAGTCTTTGGTGAATGGAGTTAAATTTTTGTAAAACATCTGTAAAGAAAGCTTCTGGAACCGCCATTGCGATATCATCCACATATCTACAATAGAGTGGTGTGTGGAATTGTAATTTTTTTAAAGCTAAATTTTCTAGATCTTGTAGTACGATCTCGGCTATGATGGGTGAGAGTGGAGATCCCATCGGGCAACCAAATGTTTGTCTATAAATTGTGTTATCGAAAGTAAAATACGTTGATTCTAAAATAAACTTCAAGACTTTGATGAACTCCATGTGTGGTATATTAGTTTTGAGAGCAATGAGATTCCATCTATATTCTATGCTTGATACCACTAGATCGATGGGAATGTTTGTGAAGAGCGAGATCACATCTAATGAAATTAAGGAGAAGCCAGGGGGGATTGATTTGTTTTGGAGTTTGTTAACTAATGAGAAACTGTCTTTTATACTGTATTCACCCGTTGGTAAGCTATGGTGTAATATGCTGTGTAAAAAGGAGGAAATATTGTATAGAGGTGTGTCTAGAGATGATACTATAATTCTTAATGGAACATTTGGTTTGTGAATCTTGGGCAAACCATAAGCTCTAGGTAATATTCCATCATTGGTGTGCATATGTAAGTATTGTTGTCTTGTAATGTAACCTCTTTTTAGCCAATTGTTTAAGTGTTGATTCAAATTCGTGATGATTTTATTTATTGGATTTTTAGTTACGGTCGTGTAGGTGTTTGTATCCTCTAATAATGACTGCATTTTTTGGTTGTAGTCTGTACGATATATTGCTACAGTGACATTACCTTTGTCAGCTCTCGTTAAAATGATCTCAGGCTTGTTCTTTAAAAAGGATTTAGTTTCAATTAATGTTGTTAAAAGTTGTGTATCTATGTTGTTTAATGGTTGAGACGAGTTATGCCAATTAGTTAAGATAGCTGTGGTGTGATTGCGGATCTGTGCTTTGGTGTTCTGGTTTAATTTGGAAATAGTTGATTCAATCCTTTTAATAAAATCATAATATATGTGTTTATCTGAGTTAGTGACCGGAAAGCAAAAGTTATTACCGAGTTGAATCAAACCTTGTATGTTAGGCGGGAAATTGATGTTAGTGAGATTTATGAACCAATTATTTTGTAATTGCAGAGGCGATGTGATTTCTTTGTTATGGAACATCGATGGATCTATAGAAACTTCATTGATTGTGTTAGGTGAAACAGATAATGGTTTCGTTTTTGAAAATTCTATGGTTTTAGGTAAATTGGTTGTAATTTGAGACGTGGATCTGAGTAGTCTGTCGTTACTGGGGACGGGAGTGAGTTTGTCTTGCCAATAGTATGTGA